TGAGAGCTGTAAAAGGAGAGCACATGAGGAGCTATCTCTCTGTGCTCTGCCTTCTTCTCCCATGTGAGAACCCTGCATTGCTGTAAAGCCATCACAAAGGAAAGCCCTCACCGAAACTGTTCCCTGGACTGTGAACTTCCCAGCCTCTGAAACTGTAAGCTTCATTTTCTTACACATTACACAGTTCTATTAACTTTGTTATAAGCAACAGAAATGGACTAACACATGGAAATAGATGGTATTTTTGTTGTTTGCATTTTAAAAATTGCCATAATTTCATCAAAAATTTGGCTAGTCTGTTTCTATTTATTTATTTTCTAACAGCTTTATTGAGATATCATTGATATATAAAAATTGTAAAGATAAGTAACTTGATATTTTCCTATACATATACATTGTGAGATGATCACCATTGTATTAGTCTGTTTCTGTTGCTTATAACAAAATATATGGAACTGAGTAATTTGGAAGAAAATGAAATTTATTGTCTACAGTTTTAGAGACTGGGAAGCCCAAAGTCCTGGTGAGGGTCTTCTTTGGTGGTGGCTTTATGGCAACACATGGATCTCACATGGCAGAAAATGGCAGAGCAGAGCTGAGAGAGAGAGAGAGAGAGTCACATGCTTTACTTTTAAAGCCCTCAGAACCATGCCCATGACCACTGTTATTAATCCATTCATTAGGGCATGGACCCAGAATCTAATCACCTCTTCAAGGCCCCACTTTTCAACTACCATAATAGGATTTCTCACTCTCGTAACAGTCACAGTGGGGATCAAGGTTCTAATACTTTGGGAATGCAATTCAAAGAGAATCTAATCACCTCTTCAAGGCCCCACTTTTCAACTACCATAATAGGATTTCTCACTCTCTTAACAGTCACAGTGGGGATCAAGGTTCTAATACTTTGGGAATGCAATTCAAACCATATCAACCATATGTTTTCTTTTTGAGATTTTATTGGTCTATGAAATCCAGAAGTTTGGAAAAGTGTTTTATATCAGACAACTCTAAACAAAAGTTCATTATTCAGTTTTATTCAGCAAGCTTTGACTGAATGTTTTTATTCTGGAGTTATTAAATTGCCTTCACATTTGTAAGCCTTGTTTTCCAGCAAAGTATGTAAGCCTTGAAGGCATGAAAAACCTCTCCAACTTCTTCAGTATTTCTCAAGGAGCTGACCTAGCCATGGGAGTTCAAGGTAGACATTCTAAAATGGTCTATATTTGTTTTTGTACAGAAATGACAGTGAGTCACTGTCTGGAACTTGTTCTCAGACTTGTGAATGTTAATCCTTTGGACCACTTCTCACTAGTTCCCTGGTGGGCTCTTTTTTCTTGTCAAGAGCCTTAGGGACATGGTGTAGTTTCCTTTTCTCTTTAATGTCCTTGTCAGATACTCAGATCTCTAAGATATTTTTACCCACTCTTACTAACTATTTATGCTGTAAACTTGGATGGAGTTTTCCTACCTTCCTCCTTTCTGTTCCTAAGAAAAACACACAGGCTCCTCTCATTTTGAATTTTAATACTAATTCAGATATGGGATAACAAAAATAGTAAACTCAGTTAAGTTACAAAGTTTAGGGAATTTTACTGAGTTCTATCAGGCATGCCTCTTGGTCTATAATTTTTGACTTCTTGACAGAGATGCTAACTAGGAGTCCCAAACTTTTATTCCTTAAAGTGAGTTTCCTCTAAAGTTCTACTCTAAAAAATGGCATATCTCATTAGAGAATGAAAATTAACACCAATTAAGTTAATTTAGTTGCTATAATAGGCTGAGTAATAGCCACCCAAAGATATCAGGTTCTAATCCCAGGAACCTGTAAATGTTACTTTATAAGGAAAAAGGGACTTCACAGATGTGATTAAATGAAGGTTCTTGACACGGGGAGATTATCCTGCATTACCCAGGTGAGCCCTAAATATAATCACAAGTGTCCTTATAAGAGAGAGGCAGAGGGTGATTTGACACACACAAAAGTAGAAGAGGAGAAGGCAATGTGACCATGGGGCAGCGATTAGGGTAATGCAGTCACAGTTAAGGAATGCCAGCAGCCATCAGAAATTGGAAGAGCCAAGATACAGATTGTCCCACTTAGCACCTCAGAAAGGAATGTGGTCCTCTCAACACCTTGATTTTGACCCAGTCATACTGATTTTAGATTTCTGGGCTATAGAACTGTGATAGAATAGATTTCTGTTGTTTTAAGCCACAGATTCTGTACTAATTTGTTACTGCAGCCTCAGGAAACTAATACAACTGTCATTTGTCTCAAATGCATACCACTTGACCTGTGGGGTAGGTGACACCTGTATCAAGAGGTTCTTACCCTGTTCATCTTTTCTAATAGTTGATTACTAAGCTGAACAGTAACTTTTCTTACATTACTGGAAAGTTACACTTGAGAAAGTGGAGTTTGACAAACCCAGAAAGAAAAATAATTTACTTAACCACTATTCATTTATTTAACAAACATTGTGTAAGTACCTACTATGTATCAAACTTATGTCAAGTCCTGAAATAAAAACTGAGTATGACAGGATCCTTGTCTTTAAAAAGTTCAGTTTATTAGTAGAATTAGACACTCACATACATATAATTAAATTAATATGCGGAAAATGAAGTAATGATCGTGTGCACAGAATATTATGAACACACCGAAGAGTACACACTTCCAGGATGAGTCTCTGTGTATATGGAGGAGAAGTGGGCAAAAGCTTAATGGGAAGGTATGCCAAGGAGCTGAGACATAAAAGAATGTAGTAACAAAGAAGGCTGAAGAGGTAAACTTTTATCAAATTTCCCTCATGCATTTCATAGTTTGAAGGACACTGTCTATAAAAAAAAACGTTGCTGTAATTATTAAGTAATAAATAATAGGTCAAGAACATCATTCCAGCCAGAGTTTATAATCAGCATAGGATGATCCGTGTTACACTACTAGCTTGCCATTATTTCAGCTAAGAGCAGAGAGACTTGTCATTTGAATTTTTCTTGTGAAGTCTTCCTGCCGGAGTGTGATTTTCATCATGATATCTGAAATACTGATATAGCTATACAACTCTCTCATTACTTTCAAGGGGAGACTTCCTTAGCTGGGAAAGTTAGTAACTGCTTGCATTAGACAATCTGGCTTGGAGAAAATTATATTGCAAACCACCTCATTAATGAGAATTCCTGTATAACATGACATTAGCTCTTTCCCTTGGGGATGGCTTCCAGTACTGTTTTTTTGTAAGACAACCTAAACAGTCAGATCCCACGCCCCTTTTACAGAGCTATGAAGTAATAGCAATAAATATAATAATCAACGTAGGACTTTGCGTAGGACTCTACTATTTTACAAAAGGAATTCACAAAATTTCCTGGTTATGGGTTGTTTGAAACATAAGCAAACCCTGTTTTTTCACTTTAGGTAAGTTTCTTAATCTCTTTTAGCTTCAGTTTCCTCATCTTTAAAGTGGGGATACTAACATCCACACGGAGGGCTATTATGAGAATTAAGCAAGATTTTGTACATTAAGTACTAAGGACAGTGCCTGACACTTAGTAGGTACATATTAGGAGATGATTTTGTCTTTTGTCTGTTTTTGTTGTTGCTGTTCTGGAAGTAGCTGAGCTTTCTAAAATTGTCTTTTATTCTACTCTTCTTCAGTTACCTCCCTCTTCTCAATTCATGGCCAGGACCCATTTTGCCAACCAACACCCTCTACCCCATCGGTTGAAATTAAAGGTCCAGGAGCACCAACGTGTTCCAGAATTTGAACTTCCTCCAGTGGTGACACTCCTTGGGTTCTCCGTGAGCTCTTTTCCTGTTTCATTAGGTATCACATGGTTAATAAAAACATGGTATTATTTATAAATAATATGTTTCTTAACTGTATTAAGATTTGGGGCAGTTTTCAGAATTCGATCATGTGTGAAACCGGAAAGTCATATATCAAAAATAGATGAGAGAATATTAGAAAGAAAATTGAATGAAAATTGACTCGATATAGATTCATTCCAGTTTTTCAAACTGAGGGTTGCAATCATTAATCAGTTCAGCAAATTAATTGGAACAAGTACATTGCATGTAGTAAAGGCAGTATGATTTTACGAAACTTTAGTTTCAGTCATATCTTAAGGACTGTGTTGTAAAATGTATTTTTTTTTTTTTAAATAAAAAGAGCTTGGAAGTCATGAGATTAGGCTATAGCACTAAACTTTTTCTGTTACTTGTTGGTTGTTAAATTTAGTAAAGTTCTTGGTTTAACAAACCTTTACTGAATACCTGTTTTTCAAAAGACATTTTCCTATGTGATTTTTTTTTCCTCTCCCCTAATGTTGCAGTGTAGGTAACCTGTGTCAAGTCCACACTCTTCTCACCCTTCACGGGGCGTCTGTTACAAGTTTGAGAGGAAAACACAAATTCCTAAGTAGAATGTATCCGGGCTTCCCTAAAGCCCCTGAGAATTACGTCATCTTTAACCATTAACCCCCGCCGCGGGCTCTTTTTATTCAGCAATGTCATAAAAGCTTTACATCCATATGGGGTGGCATGGAGAAAAAGATGAACGAGAGGAAGGTAGTGGGAGGATTTAGGTAAAGGTTGTGTGTTGAGGGCTGGCGATTGTTTGGGGGTGGGATAAGTTGCTGAGAATGGGCGGGAGAAGGGGGACGCTAGCACACAAAAGGCTATTTCCGGCTCAAATTTACGTTACCAAGTCTCTTTGAATTGAACGTTTTTTGGAGAAAAACGAGTCCGAAAGAACTAGGGGTGTGTGTGGGAGGGGGCGGCGAGGATCCCCACTTTCAGCATAAGTATCTTTCTCCATCCACATCCTTGTCGGTATTTCGGAGCTGGGCAGGCCGGGCTAGAGACTGCAGGAGACGCCCCCGAGTTCCCACCCGGGACATCCTGACCAGCAGCAGCCACAACAACAGGCTCGCCCCCAGACAAAGGGGCCGGCGCGCCGCCGCTGCAGGCGGGTGCAGCTCGGGCCGCCGGCCGCTGAGTGCGCAGAGCAGACCCGGCACGGGTCGGAGCCGGGGCGCAGAGCCCGCGCGGGCTGGCTTGGCGCCGGGCCTCCGGCTTCCACTCAGTCTTTGACCCTCGGTCCCCACCCTCCACTCCCCCGCAGGCCGCACCACTGTAAGCGCTGCCCGGCCGGCCGCCGCTCCTTCCCGGGCCGGCCAGCACAGAGCGCAGCGCGGCGGGGCCGGCGACATGGCTGTGTCCTGGAGGAGCTGGCTGGCCAACGAAGGGGTTAAACACCTCTGCCTGGTAGGACGGCGGGCTAGGCTCTCCTTGCGTCTTGTCTCTCCTGCAGCATTTTTGATTCATTCCCTGAGCGTACGCGGGTGGGAAGCTGGAAGTGGAAGTTTTGTCTCTAATTTGAACATTCTTAACTAACAAAACTTAACGCTATTGAAACTTGGAGATAACGATCCCCCACCCTTCCTCCAAATGCATGGGAACTTTCCGACACAGTGATGGGAGAGAGGATATGAAAGAGGGGAAAAGAGGTCGCTTTCAGTGAACACAGCTTTTTCTTAACCCTTTAAAGATTTTGGCCCCCTTTACTCTTCTCCTATATGCTTCTGTTTGGGACATGGCGATGTCACTAATTTGTTAGTCTCATTCAGTACAAGGTCAGATCTGCTTTCCTCTGAGGGATTTTCAGTTTGCTGGTTAATTGAGAATGCTTTCTGCAGTTACTAATTGAGGTTCCATTGAAAGTACTGTGTCCAGGGAATGTACTTGTGGTTTCCATTCATCAGGTAACATTCATTTTTAATTTTTGTTTTCTCTCTCCCTTTGCCTGATTGATTTAGCTCATCTGGCTCTCCCTGAATGCCCTGCTTTTCTGGAAAACCTTCCTGCTGTATAACCAAGGGCCAGAGTATCATTACCTCCACCAGATGTTGGGGGTAAGTGGAACCTGGGAGACCTACCTGGTGGCCAACGATGCTGGCTGGTGGAATGGGCTTAATGCAGACGGATGTTGCTGTAAGGCCTAGTCAGTTCTGCCATTCATCAAAGGAACATTTGTGGTTCACTTTAGAAAGATTTTTCTCTAAAGTGGCCAAGTTTTCTTAATTTATCATTTATGCTTGTCTAGGTTGAAAAACAAAAAACCCAAAAGATTCTTTTAAGAACCAAAAGTAATATCTGCTAACATAAAACAAATGAGTCTGCCATTAATGTCTGAGAAAACTTGCTACTTCTTGCCAGCTGCCAAGTGCCCTGAAGGATCTGCTTCACCAGGAGGACCAACCGATGACAGGCTTTTAGCTTTCACTTATCAAGGCTTTTAACCTGCTCATGAACTTATTCAGAGGATTTCTGCACTGTTTCCTTTTACTGACAACTCTCACAAAATGTTTGTTTAATGGGGTTATTCATTTGTGGGCAGTTCTTAGCTGCTTGCCTGAAGTTGGTGGCTGATTATGGTTCTAGTGTTCTAGTCTAATATGACAATGATACTGGGCAAAACTGCTCTGATTTATTTCATGTCTATATTTTTCTTTTCTCTATTCTGTGATGTTTCTGAACTCATTTTTTCTTTCTATCCTCCTATCTGACCCCTTAACAAAAGACAGTGTCACTGAGGACATATTACTTTGTATAGGGAGACTGCATTTTCTAAGGAGACTGCATTTTCTAATCAACAAGCAAAAAGTATAAAACATTGCAAAATTTTAGGGCACCTGAGAAAGCAGATTTTGTCATTCCTTCTTATTGTGGAAGAAAAATTCCAAAGGAGAAGATACGTTGCTTTGCTTTGTTTTTCATGTTTTTTAAATAACAACTATTTAAAATTATGATTGTTTCAGATGAATTCAGTGGAACCAGACCTCTCTTTCATGGTTTACATATGCACACCTTCTTTTTCCTTAAACTTTAGTACCTAGAGTAGTGATTGGCACATAATAAACCTGCAATAAATTGCACCTGAATTCATTGCTATTTTATTTTATATAACAAAGTACTATCTTTCATAATCTATCTATTGGTCATACAATTTATATTTTTAAAGCTTAACACATATATTTTTAGTTAATGGGTTGAGAAAAATAGTCTCAAAGACTAAACTCTTGGTAACTCTTAAATGTCAACATTTCTTTCTTTCATCCATTGAATCTTCCATCAATCATTCAGAAACCATGATGAACCCTGTGCTTTTCAAATAGGCACATAGAAAGTAAGACTTCACCTTCAAGTTGCTTATTATCTAATGGGAAAATGAGCAAGTAAATAATTATAATGCAATAATCAAGTTAAGAAAAGTTTTCTGTAATAAACATATGAGGTCTGCTGGCCTATCATTTTTATTTTGTTTACTAGAAATTTCCCCTTAGGTATGAATTAATGAACAGGAAGTTTTTCAGTGGGAGCTTTAACTGACCTATTTCATAGCTTGATGAACAACTTGGAGAAAGCTCTTTAATGTTACAATGGTAGAATTTGCTTTTAATCAGGACATATTTGTGTTAACATAAAATCTAAGAATTGGAAACTTACAGAAGTAACTTGGAAAGCAGTTACTTAGCTTTGGATTTTAGTTCTGTGACATAGTGTAAGCTAAAGTAATGACTTATTTAAAAAGTTAATTTTGTTGGAAACCAAAAAGATAATTTTTATGAACTTGGATGCTGTGCAACTAATCTTCATATTTATTTTGGCAACAAGTCAGATGTGGTGAAGGTTTTACAACCACCCCTCCACACATGTATATAACACAACAATTTAAAAAATATTTAAATATATGATCCTTTTCTCTACTTCCTTTCCACTTCAGTGCTTTAGTTTGAATAATGTGGCAGGCTAGTGAGTTTCAAGAGCTGCGGAAACATAGTAGGGGCTCAATAAGCATTAATCAAATGAATGAAGAAAACAATGATAAGAAGACCAAATGGAAGACTAGTAGCAAAAGGGGCAAGAAGAAGCAGACTGAAGATGACAACTGTCATTATAAACTGGTTTTCATGGAAGCATAAGAGTAATCATGGTGAGTTGATATTTAAGCCATCTAGTCAGGATTCAGCATTTTACCAAGAGTCATTATGGAAAAGAATGGTCTTCTTGGCAAAATGCTGAAAGATGAAATGTGACTTCCAAACTTTTTACTTTCCCATTATGAATGTTTTAGTCATTAATTTATCTAAATTATGTTGGAATAGGTATTTTCAGCCTGTATATTACTTTTTAGTGAAAAATGAATTCCATCTATATATAGTTTCATGATTTGCTTTATGAAGGAGTATATAATTTTATTTGATTTGGCTTATCTTTTCTAATATGATAGTTGTGGCATTGTTTCACAGAATAAGAATTAACAGGCACTTTTCAAATTGCAAAGAAATATAGTATAAAATGAGAATTAATTTAAAATAAGTATTGCAGAGTTCCCATGTTTTACATCATTAAAAACCGGGTATTATTAACTTGATGTCTTACAGCAGTGCACCTTAGAACTTCACAAACACTCAGTCCCACCATGATAGAAATGCAGAAATCCTGAAGAGGACATAAATATTCTGATATTTTAAGTCTCTTTGAGGTGAATTTTTTGTTCATAAAAACCATAATGGTATTCTGGAAATCTATTTGATTGTACCACTTTAAAACACAAATGGAAGCAGTACTTCCATTTGCTGAACACTTTGATAATAGCACTGAGTATAAAGGTTGCTGTTATTCGTCTGCAAAATGTAAGGTAACGACAAAGTAATACAAAGGGCAGGAAGGGAAAAGCAGTTAATTCTTAGTAACTGCCTGAAATCTCTGCTTTCTATTAAAAACCAACTATTTATTCAACTGTTTAGTTGCTGTTATTCGTCTGCAAAATGTAAGGTAACGACAAAGTAATACAAAGGGCAGGAAGGGTCCTTGCAATGTAACCCATTTGCAGGAAGACATAGATGTTTGAAAAGCAGTTAATTCTTAGTAACTGCCTGAAATCTCTGCTTTCTATTAAAAACCAACTATTTATTCAACTGTTTCTTTATTCCTAAGATATTCCAGGCACTTTGCAAATATTTTGCTTAAGCTAGGAAACTGTTTTCCTCATTTTACATGTGAGGCTGAGGAAGCTATATGACTTGTTCAGGTGCTATTTGATTGTCAGTGTCAGAGCTCAGATTTGAGTGCAGTCCTATCTGGCTTCTCTGCTATTCCCTCATACTACATAGCTTTTCTAAACTACCTCATCTCAGGTCAGTATTGCTCTTTATCAATGCTGTGCAATAGAAATATATGCAAGTTATATATGTAATTTAAACTTTTACAGTAGCACGTTAAAAAAGGAAAATGCTATGACATTAATTTTAAAAATATATTTATTTCAATGTATCTAAAGTATTATTTCAACATGTAGTCAATGTTAAAAAAGAGATAATTCATTTTTCCTATATATTTTTTTGAGAAGCAGTGTGTATTTTATACTCATGCACACTACAAATCACTGAATTTTTATCAGAAATACCTGACCTGTATTTAGATTTTATAATTTATTTTTTTTACTATTTTCGTATCACTGCTTCTTTTTTTAAATTTTTTTTATTGGTTATGAATATTCATGCGATACAAAGCTGATTGTCTCCCCTCGTGCCCATGATGTGAGGGCCAGATTCATATTTGCTGTATACCCATTACCACAAATTGCATTTGTACCCCATGTCCCCCACCCAATTATCCCCAACCTCCCTCTCCCTCCCCCTTTCCCCCCCACTCCACTTTGTAGCCCAAGGAATGCTCTCTCCCTCTGCAAGTCCGATGCACTACTGTGGTCTTTCGTTCCTTCCTTCTTTCTCTCTTAGCTCCCACATGTGAGTGAGTACAGGCGAAAAAGTAGGTTCACATATTCAAGTTGTTTCAAACATGCATAAAAAGTTTCCAATAATAAATGAGTTTCTGCTTTAATATTTAAATTTATTTATTTATTTATTTTTAAAAACCCTTGACCTTGGTGTTATTATAGCAAGTGATTTTTTTTATTGGTTATGAATATTCATGAGATACAAAGCTGATTGTCACCCCTTGTGCCCAAGATGTGAAGTCCAGATCCATACTGGAAGCATGTCCATTACCACAAATTGTGATTATTCAAATTAATAAAATTAATAAACCTAAAAATTCGGTACTTTGGTAACCATAGACACAATTCACATACTCAATAGCCATGTGTGGCTAGTAGCTACCATTTTGGACATTACAAGTTAGACCACGAGGGAAGATATTACTATCTTCATGGCCAAATGCACTTATTATTTTGCTTTAAAGCAAGCAAGTAGCCAACCAACTAGCTCAGTAAAAAAGACACCAGGGTATGGGTAGTCTTCTTGCTCCTCCTCTACAAAACGGGCATTGATATTGGATAGGAAGTTGAGGGCTCTAATTATTGGCACAGAATTATAAACATCTCTTTGACTTCTGGCTCATCTTCTAAGTTTTCTGGAAGGGGGCCCTTTAAGAATGAAAAAGAAGTATTTAATTCTCAGAATTGGAGTGGCCATTTTTATTTCGAAGTGATTGTTCTCAGACCAAAATTAAAGATTAAAATGTACATAAGAATTGACAGGGAAAATACGATCTTAAGTGCTGAAGATAAAATAATGTTGGGATTGATATGTATTAGGAGTTTTCATCATGATTATTCTTTCCCAGACTGGTCCGATCCAGACTGGGAGACCACATGGTCACAGCTGGTTTGTGACTGAGTTAATGTGCTAATCAGACTGTGCACTTCCTAGGAGATGTTTAATTATGACATGCTGTGTGTTTTGGAATCTTAAAATTAACTAAGAGGAAGAAAAGTCTTTTTAGGGCAGCCAAAGCAAGCAAACAAACCAACCAACCAAACAATAACCGCCTCCCGTACAGACTTTTAAATAAAGAACTCCATTGATTGCTTAAGTTGAAATCTGAT